GTGACTGCTCATGATTGTCATGTGATGATAGCTGAATCGCTCAGATTAAACTAAGCAGCTGACCCTGGTTGTGATGGCCTTTGGTGATCGAACTGCTGATTCTCATCAAAGTTCGAGAAAATAAGACTGATCATGACTTAGTTGCCAGTCGTTCAAGCAATGATTAGTATACGTTTGAGCTATCTGTTGAGATTGATGTGAGAAAACAAATTACAGTTCTAACGCTTTCATTACAAACACCCGAGAGGTTAACAAACTCCAGTTTAGGCCAATGAAAACATAACGCGTGCACAACAAAGGCGTATCCAAACTGTGCTGTCATACGTAGGAGCGTATGAAAGTGAGCTGAGAACACGCACCGATATCAGCATTCCCCCTACCCCTTCACCGTAGTCAGATTCTCAAACGGCTCAAGTCGAATTATCAGTTTCGCTACTGAAACACAAGCAGCAGTGAAAAATTACAGATCATTAATGTAGGAGTCTACGGAGCTAGAGACTAGCTTTACTGCACAAGTGCGCATGCAAAGTCTCATTTCCATCCGAGCACGCGCGTATGCATCTATAGACCAGCTGCAACACGGTGATGAGATGTCCTGGGAACAGCCAAGTGAACGCCGTTGACGCAGTCAACCAATCCCGGAGGGGGTGACCATTGTCATCATCATAATTGTACAGCGTAATACAATGAAGCGAACTTCACTAGTCGCTCCTGTAGAATTCGGAATAGGAATCGAGTAGCGCGAACTCTGTATCGGACTTTTCGGGTGTTTGTAATGAAAGCGTTAGAACTGTAATTTGTTTTCTCACATCAATCTCAACAGATAGCTCAAACGTATACTAATCATTGCTTGAACGACTGGCAACTAAGTCATGATCAGTCTTATTTTCTCGAACTTTGATGAGAATCAGCAGTTCGATCACCAAAGGCCATCACAACCAGGGTCAGCTGCTTAGTTTAATCTGAGCGATTCAGCTATCATCACATGACAATCATGAGCAGTCACTGAAGTGCCCGGAACGCGTGTACTGCGATGGTGTTAAGAGGTGGGGGTCGCAGATGTCAAAGTGATTTGCGTGTTTGTCAAGTCGCCGAAGTCGTTTGGGATACTTCGAATAGTTAGCTTTCAATAGAACAAACTCGTCGAAATGAATGGAAGAGAGACGATGGTGCTAATGGTTTTTCACTCTTACTTTTACTTTGATTTAGTACGACTGATTCTTTGGGGAACAAGTCATTTTCATAAATGATCCTGAACTTACACCCGATTTCTTTTAGTGACGGTTCCAAGCATCACCCGTGTTTGTATTTCGAGGGCAACCTTCGAGCCTTGCAAAGCCAGTGACTAAATGTAAGATAGGCATATCTTGGGACATGGTTACCTCTTGTCTATCGGAATGGTGTGGATTCGACCCATGAAGGTCTGTTACTTTAACAGATATTCTCTGGTGTGTTGGATTTCATTTGCACACACAGCAATAACCAGCTAGGTATGTTGTGCTCCTTGGTTCTGTCAAAAGTAACAAAATCGATTTCTTCTGATTCTCTGATGGAGCTTCTCGGGAGGCATTACATTGTTTCGCCGACCCAACACGGGTTTCGAGCAAAACGCTCGTGTACCACCAACCTGCTGTTTGCACGAGATTTGTGGACAATTTCATTTGACTTAGACTTCTCTCAAGCGTTTTAAAGGGTTAACAGACGTATATTTCGGCGAAAGCTCCATGACTACTGTGTTACTTGACTGGATTGACATATTTCTTCGACATCGTACCGTATCCTTTCGAGCTAACGGTTCTCTATCTGGACCGATTGAGGTCGTCCGTGGAGTTCCACATGGATCGGTACCTTTGCCTAGCATACAGAATCGACCTACCAGCCGTCCTTGGAGAAGATGCCTCATTATTCGCCGACGACGCCAAAGCATGGAGATTATGAAACCCTGCAGGAAACTCTCGATGTAGCTTACTGATGGTCTATCACCAATGAACGTTGGGAAATGCAAGGTTGTCTGGTTGCGTCACAGGCGTGGCTTTCCACACTTACTTGGAAGTCAGCTATTACCGCCTGCTCCAAATGAAAAGGATCTGGGATTTATTGTTCGTGAGGCTCTAGGATGTTCCATACATCGCGCAAGAGCATCATCAAAGGTCATAGAGCACGTTGGATTACCAAAACGTGTTTTTGGATCATTCGAAGCAGTCATATTGACACGCTTGCTATCAGCATACACTAGACCACACACCGAGTATGTTATACAGGTTTGGAATCGATCGGCAATTCACGACCAAAAGACACACGAACGTCCGCAGAGAACAGCAACCAAAATGTTCAAAGGGTTACAATCTAAAACCTACGGTGAAGGGCTGCATATTCTCAGACTTCATTCGTCAGAATACCGTCAAACATGGGAAGACATGATCTTCGTATATAAATTACTACATCAATCGAACCACTCGTGTGGTAGCCTACTAGCACTATCCAGGAATGGTCACCTCAGAGGATATTAGCTTAAACTTGTTCCAAGAGTCGGCTTCACTGAGAGCATCACTCTTTCAGCTTGAGTTTGTAATACCCGGAACTATCTCCCACCTTAAGTTGTTTGTGCACCGAACATCGATTCATTCAGATCACGGCTCGATGAAGCATTGAAACACCGAACTTTTCAGCACCCGTGAATGCTTTGCTACTTAATTATACTACCGACAGAACCAAGTGTATGCAGATCCTACGGGATTCAATAAGCATCAGTTTTGTTATTTACCCATAATAAAAACTTGAACTTTAATTCACACGGGGAAGCTTTAGGGGTGTCATCTTCAACCAGTGTCAAATGGTTTACCGCTAATGCACACTGTGAGTACAGGTTTAAGCTGGATAAATGAAAGAGATGTGAGAGTTGTAGGATACACCAGAGACCGGACAATTTCCCGGCTCATAGGTTCCACTCTCGAGAGATTGTCATTATACCCCTCATCTATCACCTTCCATGGATGCCCGAGGCTCCGGAATGACGATCGGCTGGAGTTTTGTTATAGGTGTACTTCAAAGACGATTACAAACAGAGCTCATCTGTACGTATTTTTTAATTTATTTAGTGGACATTACGCGAAAAGCACAACACTGAGATTCGATAGAGATTGATCTGAAGCTGACAGGGGAATGCATCAGTGAGGGAAGTCGAGAGAGAGAGAGGGAGAAAAAAGACTATGCGATAAGTTTACATAGTGGTGATAAACAAAACGGTCTACGGGAAGTGTGGCGGGAAGAATCCCGAGAAAAATGGAGCTTATGGAAGTTGAAAGTGATAACCAAATGTCCGGAAAGGGAGAACAACCGTGCAACCCCCATAAAACTAGGATAAATGCATAGATGAGGATGGAGTTGCAAGATAATCGAGAACATAATTTCGATAAGCAACAGATCACAGAGCAGGGGGTACAGATGCGCTTCGGAAAACGATTAGATAAAATAATTAATATAGGTGCATACTAGTTGTTTGGTGTTCAGACAACGCACCAAACAGGAATCATCACAACACGAACATCCACCAGAGCATGTGGAACGCTGAAAGTGGACCGGGACGCGCAAACGGGTGCACATGAAACCTCTGCTGTCATGGAATGCTTGTTCTACTTCGACGTCAACAGCATACCGACGAGGTCAGAAGCCGGAATACGGTCCACTCGGATATCCACCGCTCATAGCTCCACGAACAGCACCTACTGCAGCCTTTTCAACCAACTGATCGCGCAAACCCGGTTGAGTGTGCTGTGGAGGGCCTGCTTGACCCATTTCCGCTGTCATGGTGGAAGGAGGAGCAGAACCAATTACGATACCAGCCGTGTCCCCAGCTCTTGGAGAACGTCTAAGGTTGGGAAAACAAATGAGCATTAAGAGAAAGTGATAGGAATCATATGAAGAATCTAAAGCTCAATTTCGTAATTTTGATTTCAAATTAGGGTAAATCTGAACAAAATGTACATCTGATTCATGAATTCTTGAAAAACATAAAACCCGTTGTGGTTTCGTCGTCCCCCATGAGCTCACACTAATTCGGCAGGTCCAATTATAATCTAATTCATGTTAGAATGTACTTTAATCGTCACTTTGAAGTACGCAAAGTATCAATGACAACAGCTTTGTTTAATAATATCCCTGGCTATTCCTCTCCAGAGTTTCAAAATGTGGAACTTGCCAACTTTAGGACTGATTTCATTCTACAGATCTCATTACTCCCATATCACACCCTTCTTGTGATTACCCGCTCAACCTAGAAAATGTGAATGTTGGACACTTTTGCGCATTACCCAAATTATAGTGCCCGTAACTGAATGTTCCAGAGTCGTTCAACAGGCTGGGTATAGATAACCAACCAAAACGTTGGTAGCATACTTCTAATAAGGTGAGTTTATACTTACGAAATACAGCTGCGATGACATAGCAACGGTCTTCTGGAGCACAGTGGGTTTCCGCCTGTTCATCGGTCGAGGTTTTAAGTGACGGTCACGGCTCGTTAAGTAACACAACAGGTATTCTGGCCCTGTTCTGTCTATTCGATGAGATACCTTAGTACAGACGAATAAGATAACCTGTGTCAACGACTTCATGGAATTAATCCAACTGTCTTGCTAACCGTACCTGGTAGTGCAAATGCTAGATGTGGCAACTCTAGTAATATAGAAATGGAATTGACTTGCTCTCCAGTAGGATAGTCGCGTAAATACAAAGAAGCTACAGCATGCAAGCGAACATATCTTTTCAGTTTAGAATAATTTGGATAATCCCCCCCCCCCTTCGAGTGAACATGGAGATCGGGTGAAATACGCAAAACACGACAGAAAATGTCAATTGATCTAGTGATAAACACAGTCTGAAAGACCAAATAGTGCACTTTGATGAGCATGTGAAGGGAATTCAGGTATTTCTGAGGTCATTGGAAGCATTTGATAAAGGATGGTAACCTATATGCAGAAGAATATCATGTGCAGAGC